GTAGTTCAGTGGTACAGTGCTCACCCAGCATGAATGGGGACCTGGGTATGATTCCCAGAGAAGCAAAATCTGAAGAGGCAGTGAAGCTGCTATCTGCTCAGTCCAAGAAGCCAGAAACCTTGAAAGGAGAAAGAAGCCAATGTTGTAGATCCAGTCTGAGGCCGAAGTTCTGAAAAATCCCTGGAGAGTCACTGGTATAAGTCCAAATTCAAAGGCTAAAAAACTGGAATCTATGTCCATGTATGACAGCAACAGAAAAGCATATCCCCTCAAAAAAGGTCAAGCAAGCACGAGCTAGCATTCCCTTCTGCTTTTTCTTTCTATCCACCGGATTATTGATGGTGCTGCCCACATTCAGGGATGTGCTTCCCAACTCAGTTTGCTGAGTCAAAAGCCTATTTTCTCTGGAAATAAAAGAGACTCAGAAGTGTACTTTGCCAATTTTCTAGGCATTCCCAAACCAAGTCAAGTTGGCAACCAAAATTATTCATTAGTAGGAATAAAAAAAAAAGAATTGGGGGAACATATTGGTTAAGACATTTTCTTTCTTCTATCCTTTGTTCTTTCTCTTTCATTTTCCTTTTATATTACATCTCCCAATAGCCACACTGGGATCTCAGGTTCTGTTTCTCTCTACATCATCAATTTCATCCAGAAGCTCCTGTTATTCTGTTAAGTACCTATAAATGGCTCCCATTCAAAACCCCCTGAGAATTCATATTTCTAAAGGAGTTCACAGTAGCTTGAAAATTGGCCAAATAGATATATAACTGGGTCAATCAGGTTAGAAACCTAATAAAAGACAACTAGAACTACAAAGTCTTGTTTGTGATATCAAGAAGAGTAAATGTCACCTGAATTGTTATCTGATACAGGAGCAACAAGCCTCATGGGACCATTAGTCATTTCAATGTGGCAAGAGTCACACGTGAAAAACAAACATTTTAGATATATTAGTTACATAAATTATTAAAATCAATTTCACTTATTCCTTATTACATTTTTAATAAGGCTTGCATTATATTGCCTTTGATCAGTACTGAGCAAGAAAGCAAAGGCCAGGAGGAGGGGGACTGGATTTTAGGAAGTACAGTAGCATGACCAGTCTACATTCTAGAACCACTGGTCTCACGGTGTGTGAAGGACAGACGTGGAGGCTCCAGAATGAGCTCTGTTTCTTACCAACTTTGTCCCTGGACATATCACTTAAACTCTCTGAGATTCTCTGTCTTCATAGGAAAAATAGCTAAATCTTTCACAGATTTGGAGACAGATAGATGCAAAAAAATAAAAAAGCATGACAACTGAATAATTAATGCTATAAATGTTAGGTATGCTTGCACAAGTTAAATAATGCATCTCAATGGAGGGCTGGTCTAGACTTGCCAGGTCTGGGTGAGCTAGACCCTCAAATCTGGCAACATGGTTGTTCTGGAAGGGGTGAGGCAATACCAACCTCTGTCATCACAGTATTTTTCTGCTCAGGGAAGTTTGGGATCTTCATGAAAACATGTCCTCCTTCCCATGTAGAGCCCTGGCAGTGGTTGAGCTACATAAGGGGAGGACAGGACAAGCCCTCTGAAGGCTAAGTAAATGAGACCCAGTTTATTTAATGTGTGGTTATCTGGCCACACAGGTGTTCCGTGGCCTTTCTTTCCCTCGTCTGGAGGTCAGTATCACAATGTTGCCAGAATCAGAATATTACAAGTGAATATTTACACTATAGATAGAGCTATTTGATCAGGCACTTCCAAGTCTGGCATTATTATTTTTAAGTGTCTAGAGTCTCTGTGTCAAAGTTGGATGTGTGTTATGTAATGCTCTGGTGAATCTGGGATACAGGCAATTAATTTTCAGTGGGATCCCTAGGCTTTCTGTGGTATGGGGTACTTGAGGAAGGAGYTTCTAAGGCTCCATTATCCTTTATAAGGCTGACCTTCAAGCCCACAATCCCAAAAACTGAAGAGCAAGTGCCAGAGACTGGTAGAAAGTAGGGTTTGGATAGACACTCCAGTCCCTGCTGTTACTTGAGAACCTCCTACATATGCAGAACATCAAATTCAGCTGCTTCAACTTCATGTTAATTGTGTCTGGGCAACTAGACAACATGGGATAGATTTTTACTAAATCCTAGGGTATTATATGGCCTCTATTTCCTATGAAATAATGGTCCCCATCTGAAAAAGTGTACATGAAATTAAAATTCCACCACAATGGGGTGAAGAATTGGATAGTTTGCTCTTGTTATTGCTTTTTTTTTTGATTCTGTATTGCTTTTTTTTTAAAATTTGAAAATTGTCAAGCAATGGAATTTAAAAAAACAAGATGTTAAGGGAAAAAATCCTATGAAAGAATTAGTACTCTGCCTAAGTACCATCCAAATATCATGGTAAAATATATTGTCCAAGAATGGTTGTTTGGTACCAGAACTGCTGTGGAAGTCAAAGAAACTATATAATAAACAATTTATAATCGTTATGATAATACTAACTGCTATGCCCTTACATTTCAGTGGTTTAAAATAATAGGAATTTATTTCTTGCCCATATAAAATACAAAAGTGATGCCTATGACTGTTGAGTGGATTCCCTTCAAGAAGGGGACCCAGGCCCCTTCCATCTTGGGGTTCTGCCAGCTTCACACATGGTCTTCAGGGTTGTGGTGCTTCTCTGCCTCAAGACATCAAAGCATAAGCCACAGAGGACCATGTGTGGGATTTTAGGAGTAGAACTGGAACTGGGGGGCATCCATGCACTCCCATGACTCACCAGAAGTGGCCACGTGCCCCCATCTCCCTGCAAGGTGGGTGGGGGAGTAGAGTCTTGTTCTGCTCCCAGTAGGAAGCCGTCAGCAGTCTCTGCCTCAAACTACCTACACAGACACCCCCAGACTACCTACACAGACTCCCCCAGACAGCGGCACACAGAGGTCTGCATACAACAGCATGGCTGATAACATTTTATGACACTGAGTTCAGCAGGACTGGATTGAGGGGAAGTCACTCATGTGCAGCTGACTGCTGCTCGTGTCCCATTCCCTTCCCAGCTTTTGTGGATGTAGAAAATTGAATCTTTCCCAAATGTTCTAAAATATGAACCTATTTCAGTTTACAGAATGGCTCCCCATAGCCGCTAGTCTTTGTTTTACAATTTGGTATCTTTGGATTCTACTTTTAGAGCCTATACAAAATAGAGGTTCTCCTAATTATGGGTAAAAATTTTTACCATCTAAAATGCCAACTTATAAATACTGTGTGAATGATTTGATAATTTTCACAAAATATAAATTACTTCATTATATGCCCAGAATGAACATTGGCTCTTATAGTATATGACTTTAGGATCATTATAGCATTATCATGAGTATGCATTATAGAGATGTAAAACTTCAGTTCTTAGAAGTTTTTGAAGGGTTTTTGTTTCTATCTTTTTTCCCCCCTGATTGAGTAAGAGACTTCAAGTTCCTTACTGTGAGATTGTGTAGAAAGAGTTAATTGTGGCAGTTATTGAAAAATATATTACTTTTCATATTTATTCCTGTCATGGTTTAGATCTGGAATGTTCCCAGAAGGCTCCTGTGTTAAAGGCTTGGTTCCCAATACAGCAATCCTCAGAGATGGAGTTTGGGGAAGTGATTGGATCATGAAGTGATTTAATCCATTATTGGATTCAGAACTGAATGAACTCCTGGGAAGTGGTAGAAATTGTAGGAGGTGGGACCTAGCTGAAGGCAGTGGGTCCATGGGAGTGTCCCTTGGAGACTCTGGCACCATCCTCCCTCTCCCCTGTCCCTTTCCCCACTACCATGGGGAGGCAGCTGGGCTCCACCACACCCTGCCATCATGATATGCTGCCTGACCATAGGCCCAAAGAAAAGAAGCTGGCCCATAGAAGGAAACCTGTGAAATCATAAGCCAAATAATTCCTCCTTTAAGTGGTTTTCCTGAGGTATTTTGTGAAAGCAACGAGAAGCTCACTAACACAATTCCCTTTTTGTTTGTTCATTCATTCAACAAGGGAGTGTTGGTGGCCTGCCATGAAACAAGCCCTGGGCTGGATGCTCAGTCACAAATACAGGGCCCARGAAATTCCAGCCCTCTCAGTTTATGACCCACCAGTGATTGTGACAGGTCTCAAGTGAGGGAAGAACTAAGGGAGGGCTTCTCAGCTGGACTGGGAACCCATCAAAGGAGGGCTGGAGAGGCCTCCCTGAGCAGGGATCAAGGCTCACAGAGGAAGAATTTCTCAGGAGTCTGAGAGGCTCCTGTCCATAGATTCCTTTCTTATGCCATCTGTTTTTATTTTAATATTTCCCTTGCCAAATATTCTTGAACTTTTTTTCATACACAAAAATGTCTACTGCTTTTTCTCTGAAATATTTACCTATGAATTTTGTCAGGGAAGTGAATTATTATTTGGCCATTTTTGACCAACAAAGGTGACAATTTCATACATCTTAATATAAATCTGTGACTCCCTAGGCTGGATGGTTCTGGTAGCCTAATATTATGGTGTCTCGTTCCAGTCTTTTTAAAATGCCATTTAAAGCAATCTACCACAAAGTAAAAAGTTCCAGTTTCAACCAGAACCTTCATGAGAGTGCCATGACAGTGATTCTGAGCACCACCTCGCCACATCCGAAGAGAACTTTCCTACCTGCCACTTCCTCATCTTCCCATGAGCACTGTGGAAACCACCTCCCCTGTCAATACAGGCTTATCTGCGATTAAAATTAGAAATATGACCTTGGAGCCTTCTCTCTTTTCATGCCACTTTTCCATGCCATGGCTCGAAAAGATAAGGCTGCCTATAAAAGGGCCTTTCGGTGTTGTCCAGCTGTCCGTGGAAMCTGACGGATCTGCCATGGTGAGTGGGGCACCAGCTTCCCAGGCTGACTTATTAGACTTCACCTGTTTTCTCCAAAGAMCTCAGTGATGTGGGGTAAGCCGACTTTCCAAGCCTCGCTAGGCCACACTCAACCTTGTTTTTGTCTTCATGCAGATGCTGCTGGTCTGGTCGCTGGCACTGCTGCTGGGAGCAGTAGCAGGTAAGAAGAGGCGCTGAGCTAGACTTGAGAGTCTCACTGCTTAGTCTGCTCCAGAAGGCCTTGGGGCTGGATTCAAGCCACGAGGGGGGTCAGGAGGAAAACAGAGAGGTGYAGGATTGAGAGCTCAAGATCTAAGCAGGATTGCCAGGTAAAATCTACAATGCCCAGTTAATGCTGAATTTGAGATAATAATTCAAAGAGCAAATAGGTGACATATTTAGACACACACAAAAAATTCCCTGTTTAACTGATGCTCAAATTTGACTTGTAATTTTAATTTCTGAGTCTAGCAGCCCTAGCATAGAGTCAAAGGAAGGGTTTAAACCTTAGTTGAGTCACAACTCCATGACCCTGAGCAAAATCCCAGGCCCCTCCATGCTTCAGGGTCTTGTCTGTGAAGTGGGGAAATGACATCACCCATCTCCTGGGCTAGCTGAGACTCTTAGGTAAGAGAAGTGGCTCATGGTGCCCAGCAGTTGGCACATAGAAAGATGTGGAGGGATGCAGCCCTGAGACAGCTACTACTCTTACTAGTGCTATTATGTGGCCTTCTCCCCAGAGCCCTCCTGGAGTTGTCCCTCTATGCAGGAGCATGCCAGCCCACAGTGTGTCAAATCCCACATGTTTGAYTGTTTCTGCCTACYTTCTTCATCACAGGAATCCACAATGGGGCTCAAATTTAGGTCAGAAACCTACATGCAAAGTCAAGGTGGAGATRTGGAGTTCTGGCCCTTGCATGAAACTTGACCTCTCCACCCAAAGTGCAAAGCCACAGGGCTGCCCTGGGAGCCAGGAGCCTCAACACATGCCCACCCCCACCACAGTTAGGACACAGGCCGCTCCATTCCTGGGCACCAGTGGCTAAGGATGACATCTGGGTGGAGAAGCTAAAGTGAGTCCCTGCCTGGGACTGAGCAGAGAYACAGGGCAGTGAGGGGGTCCCCTGGGGTACAGGGAGGAGCAACAGCCTCTCCACCACAGAGGCATCTTGAAGCTGCTTTGTGAGAGTATGAGTGGGAGGGGAGGTGCTTGGGAGAGTGAGGAAGGCGATCTGCCATGAAATGCAATTTGACACATATTTTGCCTGCGACGCCATTAAAGAGCATTCTGGTTAAACTAATATCCTTGWAACYCTTCTGGGTGATTTCAGGAAAAGAAGTCTGCTATGACAGACTCGGCTGCTTCAGTGATGACTCCCCATGGTCAGGAATCGTGGAAAGACCCCTGAAAGTATTGCCCTGGAGTCCAGCAGATGTCAACACCCGCTTCCTCCTGTACACTAACGAGAATCAAGACAACTATCAAGTAAAAATCCTCATGTTTTCAGTCCTTAGTTCCATCTGCTTTGTGTAATTAGTATAGTGCACATCCCATGACCTGGGGGAACTAATCAGACAGTGGAGTTTGTGTCTTTGTAGACTTTTAGGGTGATGAGTTTAAGTATTATTTCATGTAATTTGTTTATAAAAGATCAATTAACTTCATGTTAAGTTAATAATTAATTAAATTGTCCTAACTCTATAACACCATTTAAATATATAAATGTAGGAAAAATACATATTCAATACATATAAAAGACATAAAATATCCAATATTTTATACACACGTGCACACACACACACACACACACACACAGTTCTCACCTACGATGGCTCTACTTAATACTTTTTTGAACTTACTATGGTGGAAAAGCAATATGCATTCAGTTGAAACCATCCTTTGAATTTTGAATCTTGATCCTTTCTTGTCTAGTGATACGCCAACAATACTCACTCACAAGTCAGATCACCAGTGTAAACAACTGATTCTCCACAAGGGCTGTTGCTAAGTTCTGATGTTTGGCAGCTTAGGGGTTCTCAATGCGTTATCAACTTACAACACTTTCAACTTATGATAGATATTGGCGCATAATCCAAACATAATGAGGGGACATCTATACATAGATGTATCTCACAGTGTTGGATGGATAGATAGATCACAGATACACAGAGATCCACACACATAAGAAGGCTTAAATTGTGTGGAATTAGATCTGAATGACAAATAGCATAGCAGACATCTTAGCCCAAGTTCAACAACGGCAACAATACCACGATGCCTGGAAGGTGGCAACTTGGGGAGGATTGTGGACAGCGTGGCTGTCATGGAGTGATCTCTACCCATAAGAACCCCCAATCCCAGTTGTCTTCCCTTACCTATTGCCTCCCTCCACATCTGAATGGTTTCTTCCCCAAACAGCAAATCACTGCGGATTCATCAAGAATCCAGAGCTCCAATTTCAAAACAAATAGGAAAACCCGCTTCATTATTCACGGATTCATAGACAAGGGAGAAGAAAGCTGGCTGKCCAACATGTGCAAGGTAAGGCCTGGTGAACTCTAAGGGAAGCTTGTCTCAGGAGCAAGGAAGACACTGGCCCCAACCATAGAAGAAAAATGCTTGTTCCTACCACCCTGGAGGTTCCTGTGACCCCTACTGGGCCTGAGTTCCCAAGGGAGGTGCAGGAGGAGATGTGGGTGGAGGGGCCTGGGACAGTCTTTCCATCATGGAAAAGCCTACTCCTTTACCTTCAATATATTTATGTATTTAAGGGGTCCTGCCTGTCTTCCACTCATGCAGTAAATGTTTATTGAGCACCCACTCTGTGCAGGAACTAGTCTAGGCATTGAGCTAGTCTAGGCAATGTCCTCAGGGGGCTCTCTAGCAAGGGACAATGTAGTCTTATGTTATTTAGGATGTTCTAATGAGACAACCCATTGTACCACAATTGATAATTTTTTTGTCTAAATCAAATGTCTACACATCTGTTTCAGTAGAAATCCCAAGAATCCAGGTCCCATGATGGTCATGCCTCAAGTTTGGAACCAATCTTAAACTTTAGGAGGGATTCTTCATACATTACAGACTAGGTGTTTTGTTCATAGCTTTGGGGTTAAAAGTGACATGATACTTTTCAGGTCAAGGTTGGATTTTTAACCCTGATCCTCAAATCTGTTAATTAGTTATCAATAATGATCCTGAATTACTAACTTATTTATTATATCTCTTCCTCCAGAAAATGTTCCAGGTGGAAAGTGTGAACTGCATCTGTGTGGACTGGAAGGGCGGCTCCCGGACCGGATATACCCAGGCCTCCCAGAACATCCGGATCGTGGGCGCAGAAGTGGCCTACTTTGTTGATTTCCTTCGGGTAACTACCTTTGGTTACAAAAAAAAAGTCCATGCACATTACTCTCTGAATTCTCTTTCTAAAATAAAAGTATGATAATTTTGATAAAGACATTTCTCTACTAAGATATCACTTTGTGCTTAGTTAAACAAAAGACAGAAAAATCTAGATTTGGGTTTCATCAATAACTTAATTCAATAATCTGTTTTTTGTTTTTAATTAAGTGAACTAGGTGGATGGTATCTACTGAATTCTACCAGTACTTATTACAATTTTACCACTCATTACCAAGTTGACAATGTTAACCTCAAGGTTAAACTAATTTTTTTTTTTTTTGCTTTTGTTCATCTTTTTGGAGAGAAGCACAATGGTAACAAGCTAACCTGCTTGGGTAACCAAAACTTTAGAAAATGTTAAACTTGAATGTGCTTAAATAGTTGTTTTCATTTTAGTTTCCTAATCCGAACACTTGATTCATCTTCTCTAGGGTAACAATTTCACATATCCTTCAAGAATTTTCTCTTCATCATAATAAAACAAAATACAGCTCTATGTGCACTAGTTTAAAATTAAATTGTTTTCCACTTTATATCTGTGAAAAAATAAACCCATAAGGGTCAATTGCTTTGAAGGAATCATATGTACCTTCTTAAAAATCAAGGTTTTGTAGACACCTATTGTGCTGACCAGGAATTCTGCCATACTTGGAAACATTTTGAGGAGGTTTTCTTTCCAACAGACTCAATTAGGATACTCGCCTTCCAATGTCCATGTCATTGGCCACAGTCTGGGTTCCCATGCTGCTGGGGAGGCTGGAAGAAGGACCAATGGGGCCATTGGACGAATCACAGGTTGGTCACAACAGCAAAAACTACAAAATTAGATTTCATGTACCTCTATAAGGTTCAAAAGAAAGTACAGGAGGAGGATTTGGTGCAGCCTGCTTGGTACCTTGTTTTAATAGGCCTCATGATCAGAAATTAGGATGTTCTTTGACCCAAGGCTTCTTATTGCTGTCAATCATTTGTGTTCAGTACACTATTTACCATTTAAATATTTTATAGGTGACTAACATGTGAGTTAAGAATATTCAGAAACATTATTTATATCTATTTCCCATTTTTATGTATTCACAAAAATATATCATGAATAAATGCCATAAATAATAGAATAAATGAAATTTAATCCACAGAGCTCAAATGTGTATAATTAATTGTATTTTACTTCTATAGCAGTAATTAACAAGCCCAAACTTCATCAACCACTATCTCAAGAGTTGGGGGGACTGGGGCAGAAGATCAGGCTCCCCTGGGCTGCCAGTTCTGATGCTGCTAACACTTTTCAAATACTATTTCACAAACCTGAGACTGGCTGCATTTGGCCAGTGGGTCACATTTTGGATACCCAGGTCCTAAAAACTCTGATGTGACTATTTCAAAATTCCCTAAGGAAAGACCACTTTCCTCTTCATCTCCCAACTTCTGTGTTGACCAAATGATTCTTTCTTTAATACTGTGGTAAGTTGGTTACATTTRGGCTGATGGGGACATTTGGAATTTCTATCTTTAATTTTCTGAAAAGATGTTCTTCCAGAACATTCTTTCCCATCATTTGTAAATGTTTACCACAACCTACTCAGCCAGGCACTGTGCTAAAGCAGACTACGGACTCCATGAAAGTCAAGATCCTTGCCCTGTGGGAGATACAGTCAGCCTGGACAGCATTTAGTTCTGTGTCTCTCCCAGGTCTGCCTCTTTTATGGTAACTGTGCTAGTGACCAAGATTCTCCCAGGGACTAAGCACCCATAAGTGATGGCAAAGTTTATAGTCTGGGGAAAATTCTCATTCAGGCAAATAACAAACTAGAAATATATAATCCCTTCAGAAAATGATAAGGTAGAAAAGAACTCGAAACTCACCATTACAGCCAATACTTGCACTCAGGTCTGTAACTGATGAAGCAATGTGAACCCTGACATAATTAATGACAAATYCTATTTGCTTTAGGATTGGATCCAGCTGAACCTTGCTTTGAGGGTACACCTGAACTTGTCCGATTAGACCCCAGTGATGCTCAGTTTGTGGATGCAATTCACACTGATGGTGCCCCAATAGTCCCTAACTTAGGTAAGTTCTACAACTTGTTCTTCTAGAACATTTTAAATCTACACATCAGAGTGTTTTCTAGTGTCTTGAGTCTATACAGTAATGTAAACATTCCCTTATTTTTAAAATTCTCCAGGGTTTGGAATGAGCCAAACTGTGGGTCACCTAGATTTCTTTCCAAATGGAGGAATAGAAATGCCCGGATGTCAGAAGAATATTCTCTCTCAGATTGTTGACATAGATGGAATTTGGGAAGGTAAGATCATTATATCTACAAGGGGATTTTCACTGGGGAAAGTTTTCATTTTGTTTTGCCTTGACATTGAACAGGTGTCACATTTTACATGACAAAGGGCTTTGAACTGCATCTCCAAGTTAGAGGATCCCATTTGGACAAGTGGGCATGATGAGACTGTGGGAAAGAAAGTACATTTGCAGTCAAATTTGAAAGGATCTAATTCAGAGAATACTAAGTGACACTGATAGCCATGTGGACTAATCTTCCTTCTCAAGTTATTTTCCCATTTCACTTAACAATGGCATTAATTATTGTAACCTAAAACAGTACTTAACTTCTGATTGCTTCAAAAATCATAAATATACTACATAAAGACTTTTGTACTGTGATCTCCATGGGTTCGCACTAATTAATGAAATCTATTCAATAACTATATTCTGATCATGATGATAAATTATAAAAGTAAAATCTGTCACTGATGTGTAATCACGTCTGATTTCACAGGAACTCGTGACTTTGCAGCATGTAATCACCTAAGAAGCTACAAGTACTATACTGATAGTATTGTCAATCCCACTGGCTTTGCTGCATTCTCTTGTGCCTCTTATAGTGTTTTCTCTGCAGTAAGTAGACTCTACCTTCTGTTTGAATTTTATTTATTTTTTAAATTGTATTTATTTTTATTGATGCTAGGCATTAAACCCAAGGCCTTGCACATGCTAAACATGCACTGGATCACTGAGCTATATTCTAAGCCCCACCATCTGAATTTTGTGACTATCACTTTTCATGAGTGATGTAGTTCACTAGTTGATCCTTTTCTAAACTTCTTTCAAAGGGCCAGAGGGAATAACTTTGGGGTCCACTGGTGCTAGGTCTCTTGGTACCTTTGGACTCTACGTCATATCCGTCTGCCTTATTGATGGTCAGCATTTAGAGATGCAGTCTCTGACTTGTCTACTTTTTTGGTTTGGGCAATGCCATTAAAGAACTTTGGCTATTTCTTCATGACTAGTTCAGTTGCCCACTAATGTAATGGATGCTAGCCCTGAGACTCTGCCATGTCTGTCATCTGGTCCACCAATTCAGAAGTCTGCCATGTGCCTTTTCTGTGGAGTAGCTTTCCCCTCCAGAGTGGGAATATGGATGTTTGTCTTCCATAGTCTGTCTTCCCTCTTTTTCCCTTTTACTAGAATAGAAAGAGATATTTTCTTACAAAAAAAAAAAAAAAAGCCTTCTCCAGACAGAGGCTAACTGGAACATTTTTCTCCAAATTGGGAGAATTCTGAGATTTGAATCCTTTGGTTCTTGATATGCTAAATGGAAGCCGAATTAAGAAAAGGCTGACTTTTGAGCATATTGTTCTGCTAATGGTCCCATTTTTGCATATCAGAAACTGATTACCACCTCCTGTTCTTTCTTATGCAATTTTTCCAGAATAAATTTTAATGACTAAGCAGGAAGTAACTGGGGCCATTTAAAGAGACAGAAGAGAAAAGAAACACATACACACACACACACACACACACACACACACACACACATTCTCCCATTATGCAATTTTTATACTATTGTGTTATCTAACAGTGAAATTGCAGGTTTATCCTTGTGAATCATCAGATGCCCTGCTAACCTTTGCTGAGACACTATTAAAATCCCTTTTACCATTAGAAAAGAATTTGTTTTAGAATATTTTAATTGTAACATATTGGAAAAGATGGTGCACCATTAAAAGAAAAAGCATTCTCATTCATCATTTGTTTTCACTAGAACAAGTGCTTCCCCTGTCCAAGTGGAGGATGCCCACAGATGGGTCATTATGCTGATAGATATTCTGGAAAAACAAATGGAGTGGGCCAGAAATTTTATCTGAACACTGGGGATAAGAGTAATTTCTCACGTAAGTTTCTATATTATTTACATTAGATTCTCAGTGCTATATATTTTATCCTGACCACTGATAATGGGTAAAATTGTTTTTCCATTCAAAAGCTATAAACACCTCTCCCCAGTGCAGAAAAATGTACAGTGCTGTGCTCCAGGTAATGATGACTGATTTGGGTAGCAGAGTAGAGTGTGGGGCCTCAACTAGTAATGACCCCAGACATAAATTTCTTCACAATTGATTCTGRCTGAATTCAGAAGTCTTCCTATGTTCCACTCTTTTTTTATTCAATCATAAGTTCATTCAGCAGAACTGTGAGGTTTTGTACAAGCATAAAAGTAATTCTAGAGAAAGATGGCAGGGGTGGTGGGGTGGAAAGTAGTTGACAGATTCAAGAGATGTTTAGGATCATAAACTCTAGGGAGGATGGGAAGTGGAGGGTGTGGCAATGGTGAGGCTTGAGGACAGACTCTAGGACAGACTTAGATAGCAGTRAATAGGGTTAAGAATATTGTAAAAATAAAGACAAATGTTATCCCATCCCCAATGTGTCCCATGTTAGGCTAAAAGGGCAACACCTGTTAGTTTGCTTTTGACTAGTATCAAGGGAACTGTCTTTTGGTTGCCTAAATTGGTTCATTTCCAAAGGCAAGAGGAAGTTGAAGTAAAGAATTTTTAAAATAAATTCAAACCATTTAGACAAAAGTATGGCAATACTCTAAAATTTGGTGATCAAAGAGAATTTAAAAAAACTTAAGAAAATGTCCTCTCTACTACTTTTCCACAACCTTTTAATATAAAGTTCTTAGAATATTAAAGAACACATTGTCAGATTGAAAAATTTTTTAAGCAAATTGTACTCCTTAGTCTCTTGGCTTGAAAATATATTTATTAACTTTGGAAATTCCTAACTAACCAATAACTATTCCCTGAACACTGAGATAAAGGAATGACTATGACTGTTTCATTTGAAGAATTACCACCAACATCATGTATAAGTTTTTTAACGTTCTGCAGTAGTGAAATGGAAATTAACCCATTATCAGTGTCTCTTTTTTATAAGCTAACRTTTGGTAATTTAACCTCCTATGCAGGTTGGAGATACAAGGTGTCTGTCACACTGTCTGGGCAGAAGGTTACAGGACATATACTGGTTTCTCTGTTTGGAAATGCAGGAAACTCTAAGCAGTATGAAATTTACAAGTGAGTAAAAATATCACCCTAAGCTTGAATGTTGAAATACTGTGCCTGTGTAATGTATGTCAACAACAGAAGAGTTTATTTATTCTTTACTGTATCGGAATAGAGTGCTGTCACCTGTAATAAGAAGAAAGATATTCTTTCACATTTGCACCTTAATACATTTCAGAATTCTAGTTCTGAATTTTCCCCATTTTTTCCCTAAGAAAATCATTAAAGTTTACTATGATGCCTAGCACTAGATTTTATAATCAATAAATAACTATTCCCCACAAAACCGTGGGGAGAAGATTGATACAATGATGCCATCATTTGTTGAATCATGGGAGGGATGGCATTGTGACTAAAAGATGTTATAAGTTATTAAAACAAAGATGTGACTCAAAGTCTCTGAGTTACTGATTATAAAACCTACCACAGATTAAACACTACATATGTGAACTTATTTTATATATTAGAATGACCATTGCCTATCGATCATTTTTGCTAGAGTCAATTTATAAACTGGTTTTAAAAATATATATGTACGTATATATTTATATATATGATTATTTTATGTATATGCTATACATTTTTGTCAATTTCTTCATTCCCAGGGGCTCTCTTCAACCAGGCTATACTCATTCCAATGAGTTTGACTCTGATGTGGACGTTGGGGACTTGCAGAGGGYCAAATTTATTTGGTATAACAATGTGATTAACCCATCACAACCCAGAGTGGGAGCATCTAGCATCACGGTGGAAAGAAACGATGGAAGAGTGTAAGTAATAAAAATCCAAAGGGCTGAGAAGGATCAAGTAGTGATTACAATTCTATCCCCACTAAAATTCTCCTTTAAGTTAAACTTCCTACAGTGGTTCACCTGTACCCTAGCCACACCTGCTTTCTAATACCTTCTGTGTCTTTAGGAGACAGTGCAGTACTTTAGGAAAAGCAACTTTGATAGGTTTGTAGTCAGAGTTGTGTTATCTGAGACAAATTAAGTATTAGAATGGGAAATAGAATGGGAAGCTGGCTTCACCATCCTGAGGAACGTTTCATTGGGCAGATGAACCTTTTGCTGTATATGTCATCAATGTCTATGTCTCTCCCAAACTTCATGAGTTCACCAAATTGTTGCTTAACTCATTTAATTTATCAGGGAACTGAAATAGGCTGTTCCATATCACTGAACTTAATGAAGACAATGTTCYATAGGTCAATCCTTGATTCTAAGTAAGGTGTTTCTGAGCTGAAGGGTGTTTACCAAGCTCAACTACCAGAAAAGGTGAACTGATGATCATCATAGTAATAGCAACCTCAGCTRTTTTTGAGTGTTAAGCCAAACCCAAAGGATGAGCATTGGGGCTTCTTTTGTCAGGCCATTGTCCTCATAAAGACCCCACACCCACCTTCACAAATGAAGCCACCAAGAATTCAGACAAGATAYAAAACAACAGTTTTCAAGGCACTGATCTTCAAGCAAAAAAGGACAGTGATGGCCTTGCAGACAAAAAAAAAAAAAAAAAACCAGACCAGGAGGAGCCTTAAACCTGCTCCAGCTTGTTGCCTGAGTCTYCAGGATGTGGCATGGGTGGGAGGAATGAAGGCAGAATCCAGTTGAAGAGATCATCTCTAAGTTGAAGAGATGGAGCCAAGAATCTGAGAATCTAAGGAACCAGATATCGTGGCACAGCCTACCAGACAGTAGAGACTTTGAGAGGGAGAATTTAGAGCTCTGGAAACAYCCCTTAAATATTCAGCACAGTACCAGTCAGTGCATGACTGTGAGCAAACTAGGCAGGGTCAGGAAACAGGCATTTGAAGGAWTGGAGAGAACAGTGCCCAGACTGGTAACCATGCTTGTTTCCACTTATAATTCAAGAGACATTAGGTAGAAGGTTTAGGACAGTCTTCTCTCCAATAGGAAATTATTCATCTAGGTTTTGCAAGACTTGAAATGATCCAATTATTCCCAGACACCATATATGAATTGRTATAATACTACTTGGAAGTAAAATATTATAAGTTAAAAATATATGCTGTCAATTCTAGAGCATTTGCTAAAATGATAAAGAACTACAGTGAACAAACCAACAAAGGGACAAAATGAAATAAAAAATAATCTAAAAGAGGGAATAAAAAAGCAAAAGRGAACCAGGGAGACAAATAGAAAGCAAATGGAAGGGCAATGGACTTAGACCTAGCCATGTCAATAATTATATTAAACGAAAATGGACTAAATACTACAATTAGAAGACAGAGAATTTATGCTGGATTTAAAAAAAATATCAACTGTACTATGCCTACATGAAATGCACTTTAAATATAAAATCACAAGTAGATTCTACAAGATGCAAGGTCCAAAAAGAGCGCTCCATTGATTGAAAAAAATGTAAATTAAAACCATAATGAGGTACCATCATAAACCTATTTAAACGATTCAAATTTTAAAAGATGGATAATATCAAGCAGTGTTGAGGATAAAAACAATCTTTAATTCATGCACTGCTGATGGTAACATAAAATGATGAAGTCACTTTGGAAAGCAGTTTACCAGTTTCTTAAAGAGCCAAACATACACCTAACTACAATTCAACCATATGGCTCTTGGGTACAATACTTTCTCCCTTTCTAGTTTTTCTTTGGGTGGTTTCAGTTACTCATAGTCAATCATAGTCTGAAAATGTTAAATGGAAAATGAGCCCTACCAGTCCTTTGGGATGTGATTAACAGCTCCACAGWATGCTATTTGCATAACCACATTACAAGATTGGAAAGGTGGTTCAGTCCTTCACAGGAGAGGTCTCTCTCAGKCAATGTCTGGCCTTGGGCACAGGGCATGCCCCCTCTCAGACTGCGTTGGGTTTAGTGGGGGGAGAAGTGGCTGTACTCATGCTCAGCCCTCCAGCTGGTGCCAGGAATACATGACCTATTGCTGTTTTCTCTCCACAGGTTCAAATTCTGTACTGCAGAGACTGTGAGGGAGGATGTTCTGCTCACCCTCAACGCATGTTAGAAGGCAGCTGACATGTGTCACTCCATCTTACTGCTAATAAATCTAGTAGTGAAACAATACACTCTGTCTTCTGACATCAATGTCCGTGTGTCCAGTGAAACTTTTGGATATTGTGATTAAAATCCAAATTGGCAATTAGTCTGAAGAACCACAAATGACTGTTGAATGTTGCTATATTCTGTGGGGCACTGGAGCTTAGGAATATAACACAACACTGTCATCATGTCCATTATTAATATTACTGATGTCATTCTGATCACTGTAGACAGATTTCCAGGCCCAAAGTGAAAAGTATCACCTTTGCCTCTGTGTSTCCTCCTCATCAGACATGCCAGGACTGATGACATGAGGAGATGAGGATGGGAYACATCTGAGGCTTCTTGACTGGTCTCCATGCTCCCCGTGGGTCTCCCCAGACCCTTTGCCTCTCTTCAGTCTATATGATCTTCCTAAAGCACAAATCAGAGTGATTCCCAGGGAAGAATGGACAGTTTTTAGTGAGTCTTGCAAGGGTGCCCTWGGTCTGACTGTCACACAGGACTCTAGTCTCATCTCAGAACATTCCTTCAGGAACTCCATATTCCAGCCTTGTCCCCAAATAGGGCTTTGATCTCAGATGCTTCTGGACATTTGTAAAAACTCTTTCTCTTTCTAGAATTTTCTTTACTGTCTTTCCATCTGTTTAACTCCTACTTGTTGTTAAACCTCTGTGTAGATATCATTTTGTCCAGGAAGACTTTCTTCATCTCCTTTAGTCACAACCTGTAGATTAAATTAAGTTCTTACTCTCCGCTTTCCCACTGCACCTAGAATCTTCCCCTTCTGGATGCTTGTATATACATATTGTAATTACAGATTCTCTTCTCTATTTATCCCATTCTTAAACTCTTTAAAGGGRTTACATTGGTAAACATCACATTAATGGAATCCACTAATGTCAGATTTTTTAAATTAGGCTATGTCAGAAAAAATAAAATCCTATAAGAGAAAAGAATACCTGTGCTAGGTCTTACAAGATAGGTAGGGAGTTGCCAATAAGACACAGAGGCAAAGGCACTCCAGAGAGAGGGAACAAGATAGGCAAAGACACGGAGGTATGAAAATATGAGAAATTGAAAAGGCCTTTCATTCCATGTTTTACCAAAATACATTCAGGTTGAGCATGARGAGCCATCAGTCTGAGTCAAATAGGATGCTTTCTCTTTCACAAACCAAAGCACCAACCCACACTAGCTTCAACAACAAAGRAATGTACTGGCTCATGCAACTGGGAAGTCCAGACGTCGGAATGATTTTTATTGATGCAGCAGCCCAATGACCTCTTTCTCTTTCCATGCTCTTCTATGTCTGGTGATGTTTTTATATCAAGGCTGGTTACTTCCCACTTAGAGGGAACTAGTAAGAGAGAGAAAGTGCATCTCTTTTTCCATCTTCCCAGATAAAACTCCTGAAATACCCTCTGATTGGCCTGTTATGAGTAAAGTGGAACATGCAGATTGCAAGTCAATAAGGGCCCACACCTGGGCATAGGAGGCGGTCAGCATGCTCAGTGCCTGGACCAGGTGAAGGAGAAATGGATGCCTACATGAGAAGGAGTTGTCCTCCTGGTCCTCCTTCTGGTGGGAAAGATGGAGCTCCATTGGCTGAAAGAGGGAATGTTTTGGGAGAAATGAGTTTGGAAGGAAAAATCACATGGTTAGTTTTAGTCATGTCACAGTTGAGGTGTTCATCATCTTCCAATGGGCCACAGCAAGTGGGCAGATTCGTACATGAACACAGATTCAAGGATAGAGGCCTGGGTGAGGCATGTAAACTTTGGCATCTTCAGTGTACAGATGGGATTTTTTAAATCCCTGAGTTTCTCTGCAAAGAGTTTTGACAATGTGAGTGCTCTAGTACTTAACAAATATTTACAATTATAGTTGCTGCGAGTATCTCATTATAATGATGAATTTGAATAACAAAATCAATGAATAACAGTGTTACCTGCAGATTTACTTGAGTAGAAGATGGAAAAAGGAATCTAAAATCATTTAATTTAAAATACATCCATTAAAAATACCCTTGTTAAGAAGTATAATCATTTTCATTATAATGAAGTGTTTGCATGTGGCTTTACTTATCTTACATGAAATTTTTACTCAAGTTGTTTACCTAGTTCTGAACATAACACATTTTTTTTTTAAAATTCTATTTTTAAAGCCCTAAATCAAGTTTTTAAAACTCCTCTTAATATAGGAACTCTATGTCAATTTGAAAAGAAGGACAAGTCCATATTTAAATGATATACTTTCAGTATGTAATATCCAGAATGTTTCTTACTGCACCATATTTCTTTTCTCTAAGATTAGGTGTAAAGAACCAATTGAATTAGACTCTRTGGTTCAGGCTACTTCTGTAAGAGGGGACTTTTGGAAGGAAACTGGCTGCCAACTCCATGTTTTTGTTTTTTCCAACACTTACATTGTGCTTAAAGCATTCCAGGCACTATTCTAAGTGCTTCATACACATTTACTCACTTAATTCTGACTATACCCTCTTATCTAGCTACTTTTATTGTTCCCATTTTCAGATGAAGCAACTGAAACGCAAAAAGGTTACATAACTTGCTTCAGGTCCCAGGCTACTAAGTGCTGGATCTAGGTTTTCCCTTCCAACAACACTTTAGCAATCAAAYTTTTCCTCTCTTCCTTTTGCTTTTTGTTTTTATTTCTTTAAGACATGGTCTCACTGTGCTGCCTAGGCTGGCCTCAGACTCTGGGGCTCAAGTGATCCTCCTGATACCAATGCTAGAAATAAGGAACAGGTTCTTGAAGATTAAATACTCGAGAAACACTGAGGCAAGCGTAGAAAGCAAGTTTTATTTAAAAAGAGACAGAGGACAGAGGTAGCAGACTTCTCTGGAAGGAAGGGGGCCCAAGTCTGCATGCCCATGGAAGTGGGTGTGTCTTGCTTTTCTAAAGACCCCCAAAACACCCCTCACCTTCTGTTTCCTCCCCATGTGTYTGTGTGTCTAAGGGCAGGAAGGACCAGCACAGGGGGTAATCCTTAGCAACTCCAGGGAAGCGTGATCAGAGGTTAGCTGTTAGCAACCCATTGCCCCTGGTCTGGTCAACCCCCATCACCCATTACCTACACTGACTGCCAGACCTTGGGCCCCTGCCTCAGTTTGTTGAGGAATGTGACATTTCCTGTCCCCTCAGGCCAGGCAGTGCTTCAGGCAGATTGCTTTTTGGCAAAGAAACCATGTGGAGAGTCAGAACAATGGGCTCATTTATAGAATTATTCTCTTAACCTTGTGTTCCCACCATCCTCCTCTATTAGTCTCCTTACACTCCCACCTCTCAGGTCGCTGGGACTATAGGTGCCCAGCACCACACCCACCTTCCAGGGCTTACTTTTGATCTACCGCACTACTCCACAGTCTTCTGGCAGCCTTTCTATTCCTGACCCAGGATGCTTAAATTCAGCCTTGTTTCAAGTAACAAGTCTATGCAAAGTTACTTTCTTTTCTCCCCAAACTCCCATAGCACTTACAGAGATACGTATACATGTACATACATACATGACACACACTCAATACCCAAAGGATAGCTGGGAGAAATAKGAAAGTGGACTTCTCAAATGCTAGCAATAATTAACATTTTTGCCCATTATTTATATAGCATAAAAAGAAAAATATGACAGCAATTTAAATACCTAAATAGCTTCTATTTGCTATTCTTGAATAATATCTTATTACTTGAAATAAGAGTTCCAATGAATTGAAGAGGAGGTTTGACTTTGTAAACAGTAACAGGCCAAAAGRAAAWAAAAAGGCAGGAAAAGAGAACAAAAAATTATTTCAAAATTACTTTCCTTATAGGGTTAAAACAGAAGGTACGTCCGTAYTACACTGACTGGTTAACTAGATTCAAGATTTGTAGAGATCATTCTCTTCCATGGTCAAATTAATTCCTAAATAAAAAAAAATTATTGTGAACGGGATTAATGATATTTTTTAGTGCACTATTAGTTTATAAAAGTGCTGCTAATTTTGTATGTCAACTTGTATCCTGCAACTTTGCTGAATTAATTATTAGATTGAACAGTTTAGGGTGTTGTCTTTGGGGTTTTTGAAATATAAGATTGTGTTGTCTGCAAACAGGGAGAGCTGGACTTCTTCTTTTCCAAATTAGATTTCTATTATTTCCTTCTATTGCCTAATTGCCCTGGCTAGGGCTTCCCCTAGGTGAATAGAAGTGGGGGAAGTGGGCATCATTCTCTTGTCTCAGACTTCACAGGAAAAGCTTTGAATGTTTCTTCAATCAGCATGATGTTAGCTGTGGGTTGGTCTTCTCTGGTCTTCTCAACAAACATGAAACATTCTCCAGAACAGATCATATTTTAGGTCACCAGAAAGCCTCAGTCCTTAAATTTCAATTATGTTTTCTAACTACAATGACATAAAAGTAGAAATCAGCAACAGGAGGAAATTTGGTTACTTTATACATACATGGAAATTAAACAATCTGCTCCGGAACAGCCAGTGGTTTAATGAAGGGGAACTTAAAAATTTCTTCAGACAAATGAAATGGAAGTACAGCATTTCAAAACCTACTGGATACAGCCAAAGTCATTCTTAGAAGGAAGTTCATGGTAATAATTACCTACATCGAAAAAGAAGAAATATCACTAATAAACCACCTAATGATGTACTCCAAGGAACTAGAAAAACAAGAGCAAAACCCCAAATTAGTAGAAGGATGGAAATGTAAATATCAGGGGAGTAATAAATGAAATAACAAAAAGTACACAGGATCAATTATGTGATAATTGATTTTCTAAAAGAAAAGTGAAAGCAGCCAACAAGCAAGTAGACCAGAGAAAAAGAGAAAATATTGAAATAKATAAAATCACAGGTGAAAACTGATACCACAGAAATAATGAGCATCATAGGGACTAGCATTAAAAATTACATACCAATAAATTGGTCATCAGGAATGGATGAGAAATCCCTGGACACATACAGCCTACCARGAC